CGCCACCATGCCAGGCTGAGAAAGAAAATGTTGATGAGAAAATACTGTGTCCATTGTAGCGTTTGTGTAACACTGGGTATTCACTACCCCCTGCACTCTTCCTTTCTGTCTGTGTCTCCTTGGGCTATGTACCCTTGGAGAGAGGAGAGAGCAATTGGCAGGAGGAGTGTTTGGGGATGAAAGCTCATTCAAACGGTTTTGGTTTTCCTGCTTGTTAGTACAAGGCAGCATGGAATCAAAGTTCCCCCAGCTGCAAGTTAACTGCAACCAGAGTAGCTCCCTGATGCCATAGAGTTTGTCTGACAGCCGTGCTGCACATCTGGATCTCAGGCATCCCCACCGAAGCCCACATTGAGGATGAGGTAACAAATTGGTCTAGGTATAGACACAGCAGGCCCTGCACTTCCACCATCTGTCACTAGAGACTTCCAAAGCCGAGTAAGCGCACAGGATTGCACATGCGTATTCAGTCTCCTGCTAGCACCGCTAGTATGAAGGGAAGTGAGCTCCACTCCTGTCTGTGCTTCTGACCCAAACCCCACAGCATATAATTTTCAGTGAACTTGCTTCGGTGGAATACTGTTAGGTCCATATTGAACCACAGCTATAGGCAGTTGAGTACAGTCTGACAAAGCTTGCTGGGAGTCCCGTGGACAAGAAAAATGCAAGGAATTCATGCTTCCCAATGCAGAGTTTGAGTACAACCTTTTCAGAATGCCCCTCCCCATGGCATCACAGTTCAGTGTTGAGAAGCACAGAGCACTTCTCAGGCACTGGCCTGCTCTGAAGGTCCAGGGTCAGCTAAGCTCACACTGCCTCTGTGTTCTCCATTCGTATCTGGGCTGCTTTTGCTTACCACGTCATGCTCTCCCCTTTCTTAGCCCTCTCTTCTGCCAGACGGCCACACCGCGCAGGCTCCATGGTCTCTCTAGATCTCTGATCCTATCACCAGTCTCCAGGTCCCTCCAAATCGGTCCATCCACCACTGATGTTCAGTGCAGTCTCTCAGTCACCTACCTCACTTAGGTTTTCTTTGCCTGTTTTGATGCTGAGCCATGAAGAAACTGAAAAGTTCTGCTTGCTTCTAATCCACTGTTTTGGCTCCATCTAACCCCGTTTTAATGAGTATTACCGGCTATTTTTGTATCTCTTCTTCTTGGGGTTCTTGTTCTTACTGCTAACACACACCCTTGAGTAAGTCTTTCATTAAGATTTAATGGAAAAAAAAAGATTTAATGGATAGTAAATTCCTAAGCCCTTATATTTATTTGTCACGTGTTCATCCCAAAGCCATGCACGAACCCTATGTCAACAGGAAGTTTCTCTTGGGGATTGAGTCTTGATGGTGAGTCTGTTTCAAGCCGTGGTTTGGACATGAGAATTAACTTTTCTGAGTCACAAGTGAGCAAGTCAAGATATCCTGGTTTCCGTTCATGGCAGACGGTACATTGGTGCCTCCGAAGTCCATATAAATCACACAGTTCCAGCCCCCCAGCCCCCCCCTCCCCCTGCACAGGGTGCCTGTTTGTTGCTGGCTGGCTTTCCTGGCCTCCCGGACCTGCTTTCAGGCCTAGCTTCCAAGGGCTGTGTTGCTTTCAGCTCCACTCATCACTCTCTGTGCCCGCTGTTTTTTCTGTTTCACCTTTGAGAGCAGCTAGTGTTTCTAAACGATGACATGCATTCTCGCCATGTGTTAGAAGAGAGGGTGGAGGATGGAATGAGCTAGACTGGTCTATGGAGCACATTCAAGCTGACATCCTGGCTCGAAATTATTTCCCATTAATCAACGATGGAAAAAAAACACCCCATTTCCTCTTTTAAAAAATTACTGCTTCTGGCCGGGCGGTGGTGGCGCACGCCTTTAATCCTAGCACTCGGGAGGCAGAGGCAGGCGGATCTCTGTGAGTTCGAGGCCAGCCTGGTCTACAGCGCGAGATCCAGGAAAGGCGCAAAGCTACACAGAGAAACCCTGTCTCGAAAAACGAAAAAAAAAAAAAATTACTGCTTCTGTTTGAAAAGAGAATTACAAGTGGCCACTAGGCCGGGCGGTGGTGGCGCACGCCTTTAATCCCAGCACTCGGGAGGCAGAGCCAGGCGGATCTCTGTGAGTTCGAGGCCAGCCTGGTCTCCAAAGTGAGTTCCAGGAAAGGCGCAAAGCTACACAGAGAAACCCTGTCTCGAAAAAAAACCAAAAAAAAAAAAAAAAAAAAAAAAACAACAAGTGGCCACTAGACATCTGAACACATACTGCCCTTACATGTATTCAAAGGAATCTAAAACAAATGCTTTTAATAAGCCATGTTAATGTACCGAACTGAAAAAGTTATAAACCTAATGAACGCCTTATAGACAACAGATCAAGTCCTCTGTCCACAGAGACTAAGAGAGCAGATTTCACTTTGGCCGTGAATGGGGAGGAGATAAAAGTTTTAGGAAAGTAATAGGTTCAATTTGATATACTGGTCTTGGAGAGAGAACTGCACCCAGCTCAGGCAATGATAGGCCGTAGCTTCTTAAAAAGCTGTTGTGACCCAGATTGATGACCCTTTCCTCAAAAAAGACTCATCCCTGGCTGAACTGAGGAAAATAACCTGGTGTCACAATGCTGGAACTAAACAAAAGCCCCAAACCATGCCTACCCTTCCATCCATATCTAAAAGCGTATATTTAGAAACAGATCATGAATATGCCACATGTTAATCCTCAATGACAGTTGTCATTTCATCGCCTATAAAACTGTATAACAACAAACAAATACAAAAAAGGATACCCCTCCCCAAAATCCCAGGAAACAGACAAACTGTGAACAGCAACCAAGGGGATGACAAAACACTGGAAATGTAAAATGCCTTCATATAAGGGGCCGAGACACCTTTGAATGCAGAAAAAATCAATAACATGGAATGATAAGCAGGAAGTGGGAGGAATGAGGAACAGTATTTGACACAACTCAATTTCACATTTTACTCCCCCCCCCCATTCATCCAAGACTCAGCAGCCTTTGCAGTAGGGTATCAGGGACAGGAGACTATGCTTGTTCTTCATCCTTCTAGCTTTCTTCATAAGCTCTGTTTATCCTAGAACTGCCTGATTACTGCCAACTTGCTCTCCCCTGACTCAGTCACCTAGATTAGAAGTTTCTGGAGGTGGTATGGAGGGAAGGTGGCCCATCTCTGCATGGCTCCAGCTGCTCCCCATAGGGAGCTCCTTTTGGAGTAGGCCTGTTCCCCAAAGCCCAGGTTTTCTTATGAGTCCTGGACCCCACAAAGAATGGACTTTTTACTTTTGCTGTTCCACCATTTTCCAGCCTACCTTTCTATTCCTATACAAGGACAGGGGTCCAGACAGTGTGCTTCTGCATCATGGTCTATTTTAGATCCTGCCTCTTTTTTTTGGACACAGGACAAGGGAGTGGGACTATGGGTGGTGGGACTATGCTGAGATTCAGAATGCAAAGCATGTGGCAGTGCAATCACCCTGCAAGATCTCCTTGGATGTCAGTTCTCATCACCTGCTTCCTTTTCCTACTAGCAACTAGGCTGCTCCATGACAATTGGCAAACAGCCTTTACACCACTGAATGCCCACAAGCACGGGAAGGTCACTTAACAAACCAGTGCACACTGTGTGGTGTGCTGTGCTGGACCACTGTACCAGGGATCAGACAGAAGCAGCTCTGGCTCAGGGCTTTCCAGGCACCACCTATCACCATTGCAGGCCAAGTCTGCCTCTGTAGCAGTAGGTGGCCTCTCATTACCATGCTCGGGGGCCTGGCTCTGGGTTGGGTATTTCACTTCTTGGTTTGCTGGACCATGTGACCTGAGAGTGCAACCTAACGAGATGAAAATGAAGCGGGACTCAGATCTGTGCTTGTACCGGCAGATGCCATGTAGACTCACACCCAGTGTTGGCATTATGGTCCTCTGACCCCTGGGGACCCTTGGAGACATACACGAAATGAACGGAACCTGAGCCCCTAAACTCGGGCTGTACTCCTCATCTGGAGCATGCCTATTTAGTGTGTGGTGGACGTTTTCCCCACATGCTCCAGTGTCTTTCTGCACAGGCCTCTGGCCTCTTCCAGAAGGACACCAGCCTTGAGCTCATCCTCCACTGTCCTATATTCCTTTCTCACCTTTTCCTCGAGCCTTACCCTCCCCTCTATCTTCTGTCTTTCCTAAATTCTCTTTTTGGGGGTGGGGTTCAAGACAGGATTTCCCTGTGTAGACCTGGAACTCACTCTGAAGTTCAGGTTGGCCTCGAAATCAGAGATCTCCTTGCCTCTCTGCCTTCTGAGTGCCATGATTAAAGACGTGCCACCACTGGGCGGCTCATCTAGTTGTTGGTTTTTTTGTTTGTTTTTTTCGAGACAGGTTTTCTCTGTGTAGTTTGGTGCCTGTCCTGGATCTCACTCTGTAGACCAGGCTGGCCTCGAACTCAGAGATTCACCTGCCTCTGCCTCCAGAGTGTTGGGATTTAAGGCGTGTGCCACCACTGTCCGGCTCATCTAGTTTTTTGGTTGCCAACCACCTTCTCACCTCAACCCTATCAGTTCCTGGTTTCTCTGGGGGAGCCCAGGGGAGTGCTACTCTGAGTGGACAGACTTTGGATCCTAAGGCCAAGAGAAAACAGGCAAAACATTGCCTTATGGGTGGTTTATCTTTTCAGGAATCTCTGACCTGCAGAAGACCACAGTTACACTTCCCTTTACCCTTGCAGTTCAACTTCAGTTAAGCATTTTTTGACACCAGTCTCTAGAAGCCAAGAGAAGACCTATGCTTCTTGACCAACTGCCACCTTCAGGGCCGGCTCGACTGTTACCCCCTTGGTCAGGGGGAGCAGAGGGTGGTGGTCCTGTCAAGGACAGTCTAGACGGAAGCTCTGAAGCTGCACTTTGCCTGCACAGCTCTGGATGACCCTCTGGGCTTGGAGCTTGCTGTCCCGTACCCCACCCACTTCCCCACCCAGGTACGGTATGGCACCCAAGAAAAACAGGAGGCGTGCAGGCAGTATTTGGTGTACTGAACTCGAAGATTTTCTTCTAACTTTGGGAGACAACAACAAGTGACAACATCGGAACTGCATCTCTGACCAGACAACACTGGCAATGCGGAGTTCATCACACAAGGAAATGTACGCTCATCCAGGTCAAGTCTCCAAAATGATCGAAGCTCCGCAGCCTGCAATGCAGACTGCAAGGAAATAAAGTGCATCACCACCCCATCACACAGCGAGGGCATCATGGAGGAACAAAAGGAGCCCAGGGGGAGGGGGGGGACGCAGAAGCTCAGACTACTCAGGGCCAGAATGGGACAGGAACACAAAGCTGAGTCCTCCTTCTATCCCCGTCTCCTGACTGACGCCACTGGGCCCAGAATCCAGTCCAATGCCAGTGCCTCTGACCTCACACCATAGTCCATGCCTGAGCATGAGCAGGGAGGGGCTTCCCTGGCAGGGCCTCAGACTCCATACCCATTTCTCCAAGTAGTCCATGATCCCTCCTGTACACAGAAAACAGGAGATTCCCAGGAGCTCTTGTCGCTACCCAACAGCTCCATCTCCATCACACATGTTTACACACAGGCGTGCACACATGCATTCAAACATACATATACAGACTACTCAGCAAGACTTGGCAGAAGGAAACCATCGGGTCCTGGGCTATGGCAAAGAGCGGAGAACATGTAGCAGCCACCTTTCAGCTTGTGTCCTTCAGCTGAGACAGATCTCCATTTGGGTCTCTGACTCCAAGTAGGCAGATGGGTCACTCTGTCCCTGGGGCTGGCTGGCATGCTGAAGGTTTCTGCATCAGGAATGGAATGCACGGACCTTGAGATACCAGCATCAGAAAAGCTGGGGGAATGTTGGTTAAGTAGTAAAAGTATCCCTTGGGCTGTCCTTGGGCATTTGGAGACTCTAGCCTATGCAGGGCCTCCTGGACAGACTGTCCTCCACCTATCTGGAGGAGATTTTTCCCATGTGATGCTAGGGATGGGGCTGCAAGTCTAGGAACAGAGAAACAGGGCCATATAAACCATGGGTTTCAGCCCGTAGTTCCTCAGCCTCCCATGAACCACATCTGCAGTCCACTAGCACACAACTGCTCAGGAGCCCTTGGTCAAGCACCAGAGAGGCAGGGAGGACTAGACATTTCAGGAAGTTCTCGAACCTTCCTCTCTGTTCATGAACTCAACTACTGGCCTGTCTTCTAGACCACTCCCAGGAAAGGAAGATGCCCAGCTTCCCTACCCCATGGTCTCTCTTTCTCCCTAGGTCCCCTGGCAGCTCTCTACTCCCTCCCAACCCCAATGTCCTGCCAGGTCACAAAGAAGACTGCAGAGGAGGTGGGGGAATGGAGGTCCAGGGCAGGCCAAGCTCCCCACTATTCTGTGTAACAAGGGCAAATCCCACGCCTTGCATTGAGCCCCGCTGAGTTCCTGAGGTGGGAGAATACCTCTCCCTCACAGTGTTGCTAGGAGATATCAGTGCCCAAGGTACACTGGTATCTTTTCTATGGAAGGGCCAGAAGACCCGAGCCACGCCACCCCTCTAGGCCTCTACCAGAAGGGCCTTTCCTCTTCTAGGTAGGCTCTTCACTCGGCTGCTCCCCGGGCTGCTACAGGAACAGCAGCAGACATCTCTATGTAGGGATCCATCTTGAAATGATCTCAGAAGTGGTGAGCCATCACCTAGAAGAGCAAGACCTGAAATAAAAAAGAGGGAGACTTCAGAGCTGGCCTCCTGTGCACTCTCCTTCTCTACCCTATCCCGACAGCAGCTGCCTGCTCCTGGAGTCCTTACCACTTCCCCAGATCCTGTGGTACACAGCTGCCAGGCTGCTCATGGCTGGTGGATGGGCTTCTGGGTCTGGAGAGTGTGATCGCAGGTGCTGCAGGGAGCCTGGGCAGACAAGGAGGAATAGTTCCTGTTCTTTCCTGTCTGCAGATGCAGAGCCTGAGGAATGCCCTCAGACCGGGTTAGGGGAGCAAGAGGGAGGGCAGGAGGAGCAGGCAGAGGACAGACCCTGCCCGATCCCCAACAGTGCAGGAGCAGTTTGGAGAAGGGCTGTGTAGAGCTGCAGAGACTATCCTTGGGTCTCCATGCAAAGAAGGGGACAGACCTGAGGTTTGGTTCAGAAAAGAACTGTCCTTTTTATCTGACCACCCAACAGGTAAGGATCAATGGACAAATCTTTACCCCTCATGGGACCTTCCTGGTGGCTCACTGGCCCAATCCTCTCCCACTCAGGGTTCAGGTTACATCTCAGGTGGCTTTCACAAAAAAAAAAAAAAAAAAAACGGACTTGAGACCTGGAAGGTGGGTGGGAGGGGCTTCCTGTCTGTGTGTTGGTGATGAGCTGGCCCTCCAAGATGTCATGGCCGCCCAATACCCAATCATGGAGCCACCAGCAGGGAACACGGGAGAGCCTCGCCTACCTTTTCAGTTTCCAAGCTTGGCTAAGCAGCATGTGTGCCATGGTGTATTCCCTATCCCCACAAACAAGTCATACCCACCAGCCTCCATTCCAACCTGTCTGCAACCTACCTTCCTGCACAGGGCCTGGTAAATCCTGCGGTAGCATCCCCTCTTTCGAGTGTTCCCCCTTTCTGGCCAATGGGAGGCAACAGGTTTGCCAGACTCTGGTGATTCTCTGGATGCAGTGGAAAAGGACTCGGCTGTGAAGGTTTTTTGCGGTATGGGATATGGTACCTGGGGCCCTCCGCGGAGGAGACCTAAGATGGAGGGGTCCGGGCCGTCCCGCCTGCGCCCCCCGCCGCGGTCTCTGGGCACTGCGGGGCCCCACGGTCCTTCCCGGCGGCCGTCTGGCGCGGGTGGCGCGGATGGCGCTCTCCGCCCGAGGGGCCGCCGTGGTGCCGGGCGACGGCTCACTCGATCCGCACCTGCAGGCGGACATTGAGCATCACCGAGGCCACCATGTAGAAGTAAGGGAAGTTCACGCGCAGCCGCCAGGCCAGGTCGAAGAAGGTGAGCAGCGTGCGCGTGAGCCCCTTGCAGAAGGCGCTGTAGGAGCCGCGTGTCGCCGCCCAACGCGACAGTCGCATTGCCAGGCCTGATAGAGCCGCAGCCGCCGCTGCAGCAGACAGGGCTGTAGTCACCGCCATCGGCCTGGCTCACCGGCTCACCCGCTGCAAAGCCAGCTAAGTGCGCTGCGCCACGCCGCCCCACGCTGCCCGGCAGCCCCGCCCTCAGGCTCCCGGGTCCCCGCAGCCTCCAGTGCTCCACCCACCACCCCACCGCCTCAGTTGCTCTCCGCCCTCCCGCCAGACCTGCGACTGCTCAGCTCCGCCTTCTTGCTGCAGGCTCTGGGCAGAAGCCCTCCCCCGAGTTCAGCAGGTATCTTTGTCTCATCCTGAGTCCTGCTGCTGCTGAGAGGCTGCAGTGCTTGGGCCAGGCTTGCTTGGCCTCACTGCCACAGTCCCACGGATGGGAGCCCTCTCTCCACGAAGTCTCGCACCTCTCAAGTGCCTGTCCCACCTGTTCAGCCTGTTAGTCTTCCTACAGTGCACAAACACTGAGTGGCGTGAATGATGTGCCGATAGGATTCATTCTTGGGGAATACTCTAGAATGGAGGGGTTTGAAGGCTAGCTCGTGTGGACCACTTTTGCTAATTCTATAGGAAACTATATCCAGAAGTTCTCTCCTATGCACGCTAACACCCTTCTTCCACTGTCTCCCAGGAAGCCAGGCCAAAGGACTCATTGTACTTTTCATTATTTGCATACTGTACTTAACTATCCCACGCAGTGCCATCAAATCAGTGGTGCATGCATTTTGTTCCTTTTCTGTTGTATTTGATGGTCGCCCTTTCATGTTAACATCTAATCTTTATATCAACAGGTTAAACCAAATCCAAACCAAAGCCAGATCGTCTCTGGCGATGGAGGGCAGTGTTCAGTCACTATGCAATGGTGAGGGAAAACAGTCAAGATTACGCATTGCAGCTCAGCTACTATGATCAGTGGATTAGTTGTAGTAAGTGCATTTTCGTCTTAGGATATTTTCAACTTCAAATTGATTTATCCAGATGTAACCTCAGTGTAAATCAAAGATCATCTGTATATATTAATATGGAGTAGAGTGATTCCTCCATCTTCAATTTTTATTTTACAGCACATCTTTAGTTATTCTAGGGGCTGTGCATATCCATATAATTTAGGAATCAAATTGTCAGTACAAAAGGCATTGCTTGAAATTGTGTTAAAAAGATCAATTTTGAGGGAGAACTGACACCATTTCTATGCTGATTGTTTTAAGTCACAAACAGAGTCTGTCTTCGTCCATCAAAATGTTTTTTATTTCTTTTATTAAAATTTGTATGGTTTGGCATTGAGATCCTTTATACATTTTTATAGGTAATCTAAAGTACAATTTTCTTTGAAGGCATTAGAAATGATTTTGGACTTCTGATCTCAGCTTCCATATGCTTATTCATTATTAGTATACAGAAATGTATCTTTGTGTGTATGTATATGTGAATGCATGTGTATGTATTCCTGTGTGGATACACATGCATGTGTAGGTGTTCATGCATTTTTGTGTGTGGAGGCCGGAGGACAACCTGAGGAACACATCCACTTTTATCTTTTGGATTGTCTCTTAATGGCTAAGAGCCCTCCAAGTAGAACAGAAGGGCTGATGAGCCCCAGGGCTCTGCCTGTCTCTGCCTTCCCAAGGTCTGGGATTCAAAACATGTGCCACTGCCAGGTATGACCACACATGTCTTTGATTTCCACCACTCAGGAGGCAGAGGCAGACAGACCTCTGCAAGTTTGAGGCTAGCCTGGTCTACATAACAAGTCCCAGGCCAGTCAGGCCTACATGGTGAGACTACGTACAAAAAAAAATAAACCCCAACAAACAAACCCAAAATAAGCAAGCCAACAGCCTCCCCCTGTGCCTCCATACCTGGCTTTTACATGTGTTCTGGGGATAGAAACTTCGTGCTCTACTTTCTCAGTCATCCTCCTACCCTTGAAATAAAAATTTCTGTACATTCATCTGTGTCCAGTGAAGAAGTTAAACTCTTAGCTTGTTTCTAGGGATCTTTTTTGTTAATACCGTGAAACTTGGTAACTAGAATATCATATCGTATACAAATTGGTGCAGTTCTTTATTTGTTCTTTCCAGTCTTTATATCCATTCCTTGTTTGATTGCAGTGGATAGGATTCACAGTGCTAGGCTGAATGATAAGTTAGCTACCCTCATGGCTGTGTATTGGCAAATGCATTTTCTAAATCACTAATGCTGATTATCTCTAAAAAGTAATATTATAGTGCTGGGCATAGTGGCGCACACATTTAATCCCAGCACTTGGAAGGCAAAGGCAGGCAGATCTCTGGGTTTGAGGCCAGCCTGGTTTACAAAGAGAGTTCCAAGATAGCCAAAGCTGTTGCACAGAGAAACCCTGTCTCAAAAAAATAAAAAAAAAAGTATTATTATAAACTGTCATATATCTAACGATTTGATTCAGTCTCGATCTGTAGCCATACTTGTCTGGAACTCACTATGTAGCCTAGGCTGGCCTTACTTTTGTGTTAGTAATTATTTTTGTAATGAACAATGGCTCTTATGTCAAAAAAGGGGGGGCATGTACATGCATGATTGTAGGGGCACATACCTGTACATGTGTGTGTGTGTATGTGTGTGTGTGTGTGTGTGTGTGTGTGTGTGTGTGTGTGCACGCACAGATGCATATGCTTGTACATGCAGAGGCCAGAAGCTGTCTGTTTTAGCACTAGAGTTACTTATGGGTTTTTGCTAGATACCTGGCTTATTATGTAGTCTTGGAATCTGAACTCCATTTTTCACTATTGATGTCTTCATGATTGTATATCAAGTGCTCTTAACTGCTAAGCCAGCTCTCCAGTCCCTAGTGAAAGAATTCTTGCAAGTAGTATTTGGTTATGAACTTCAACTTAACCCCAACTGTTCACTCATTACAGTTTCAGACTTTTCAGTCTACAACGTTAGATTGGGATACGAGTGCCTAGGCATGAAAATATAAAATGCCAGAAGATACATGAATTTGTGTCATGGTTATAGTTAAAAAAAAATTTAAACAAGCCATAATTTTTAGAGTAGGTAAGCAGAAAAAGTAGGCATGATAGTTAATGCTTACCATCCCGAAACTTGGGAGGTTGAGGCAGGATGAAGCCCAGCATGGCCTGCACGGTGAGTTCAAATCCAGCCTGGAGCACATACCAAGAACTTGCCTAAATATCTGAGATTTAGCTTACTAATAAAGATAGTTATTAAGCTCTTCAAGGCTAGTTTCTTTTGAGTATTAGAAATCAATTCTTGAGGTATTCTGTTAGTTAACTGAAATAGAAATGTTCTAGGTATATTGTTCTTCCTGCTAGATTGGCACCTTTATTACAAAACTTCCTTCCTATAACCCTACCGAGATAAAGTTTTATACTGACTGATTGACTGCAAGTTGGGTCAAATACAACCCTCCTTATAAGTGAGGTCTTCCAGGAAGCCACTGAACAGACCAGATAATAATTACCTGAGAGACTTAAGCTTTATATATGTTCCTCCTCCATTTGACAATTCTGGTGACAGCCAGGCTAATGTTTTCACCTGGAATGTGGGCTGTCAGTTCCGCTGACTATGCTGCAAGGAGAGAGTGGGAGCTAGAAGTAAGACGCGTATAAATGCCACAAATTCTGCCTGTTTTCTCAGATTCTCCCATTTAGTTCCGGACACACATAAGCATTTGACTTTTTTTTTAATGGCTCAAAAAATTCTGATTGCAATGAGTTGCCAGTCGTTTTACTGGTATTTTGGAGAAGAGAATTATTTGTGGTTTTTTACTTTGCCATTTTTGGCTTGTCCGGTTTTGATGAAAAAAAAAATGAACAATGAAAATAATACTGTAGTAATTTTAGATTATCAATCCCTCCTGGACTCATTGTCCTTGTTGCTTAATTATTTCTAGAGTTAATTGGCTAGACTTATTTTTATCAATGTTGTTTCCCTTGTAACGTGAAGAATTTTGAGCAACAATGAGTAACTACTTTGTTAGAACAATTTAGTAATTATTATATGATATTGGAAATTATATGTATATTATATGTATATTACTATATATGATTGGGTATTGGATATATATGACATTGGAAAAGTAACATACAAGTGACATTATACAGACCAAGACTTTACATACATACATACATAAATACATATATATGTATATGTATGTGTATGCATGTAACAACAATGAAAAAGAAGTCATGAATTTGAAAGAGAGCAAGGAGGAGTTAAGGAGGATGCAAGGGAAGAGAGAAGTGGTGGAATTATGTTATTTCAAAAATAAAAGAAAAACTAATCTATCTATCTATCTATCTATCTATCTATCTATCTATCTATCTATCTATCTATAGTTCCTGACATTAGTATAGCAATTCCAGCTTTCTTTGGGGTACTGTTTTACACATTGTTATGAAATTTCTTATTTTATTTTTGAATAGCATATGATAATTATATATTGTAAGGAATACATGGGATAGTTCAATCTTTTCCCACCCTTCTTAAATTTAGTTTTTTGAGAATTTCGTACATGATTATTCACTACTGTATTTACATTATTTCCATTCCTTTTCCTCCCACAATTCCCTCTCAAGTTCATGACCTTTTCTGTAATTAATATCGGGGTGTCTCTGTGTGTGTGTGTGTGTGTGTGTGTGTGTGTGTGTGTGTGTGTGTGTATTTAAAACCTATTGTTTTACACACTTTTACTTTCTGAGTTATTTTGTATTTAAATCTCAGGTGTGTCTTTTGTTGACATTATTCAGCTGAATTCCACTAAGGGGAGCTAGAGAGATGGCTCAGCAGTTAAAAGACTGTCTGCTCTTCCAAAGGACGCAGGTTCAATTCCCAGCACCCATTTGGCAGCTCACAACTCTCTGTAACTACAGTCCTAAGAGATCTGATGCTCTTTTATGGCCTCTGTGGCCACTGCACACATGTGGTACAGGCAAAAAACATATATATATATATATATATATATATATATATATATATATATATAAAACATTCTTTAAAAAAATCAATTCAGTCAGTGTTTACATGTTCATTAACTATTTAGCCCATTCATATTTAGTGCTAGAGTCTGGGGAAAGGCTCAATGGTTAAAAGCCCTTCAAGAGGACCCAGGTTTGAGTTCCAGTATCCACAGGGTGACTCACAGATGATTTGGTTCCCTCCTTGG